CCATTGGATGAATATGTCACATTTTACTTAATCATCAATTGATGAACATTTGGGTTGTTTCTACCTTTTGGCTATTGTGAATAATGCTGCTATAGGCCTTAGGATTTTGTTTTCAGTTTTTTGTTTGTTTACTAAAGTTTTACATTGATGTCATCAAGTCTATTGCTCATTTAGATTATGATTTCTTCAGTTGTTTGACTAGCAAATCTTTTCCTAAACCAATGATAAAATGTTCACCCATATTTTCTTTTTAATCTTAAAAATTTGTTTTATTTTATTTTACATTTCAATCTATAATCCACCTGAGTTTCATTTTGGAGTTATTGAAATTAGGAAGTGCAGAGCTAGAGCTAGGTCGCACAGACCCCTTGAGCCAGTTGTCCAGACTGGGTCACAAACCCTTCACATGCAGGTCTATGAGCCAGGTAATAGGAAAAGGTAATAGGAAAAATTGGAGCCGTGGGTGAAGAAATAATAGGCTCTATTCAGAGCTAGAAGCAGTCGACCTAACATGGCTTCCCAGAGCGTCCTCTAGAAGCTTTGCACATCTGCACCATTAGTCCTTTTACTCAAGTCCATAATCCAAAAATAAATAAATAAATAAATAAAAAACCCCAAACACCCAGATGCACATGCGCAATCACATTAGACAATAACAAGGAACACCAGTGGGCAGGTGCATGCCCACCTCAGATGTTGGACAAGACTCCAAACGTCTGAGGGGCCCTGACCATTTTCCTTATATTTTCCCAACAGGAAGGATCTATGTAGTACTCCCTCCTTCCCCCAGTGCCCCCCATAATATTTTCCAGCACCATCTGCTGAGTCACCCTTCTCACCAACCATTTCCTTTATTCTGTACTGATTTATATTTTAATAGACTTCATTTTTAGAACAGTTTCAGTTTCACAGCAAAATCAAGTGGGAGGTTCAGAGAGTTCTCATATACCCCGTACCCCTCCATTACACGTGGCCTTCCCCACCATCAACATCCAGTACCAGAGTGGTACATTTGTTACAATCGGTGAATATGCATTGACACATCATTATTACCCAAAGTGCATCGTTTACATTTGGGTTCACTCGTGGTGTTGTACATTCTATGTGTTTGGTCAAATGTGCAATGACATGCATCCACCATCATAGTACCATGCAGAGTATTTTCATCGCCCTGAAAATCCTCCGTGCTCCGCCTATTCATCCCTCCCTTCCCCCTAGCCCCTGGCAACCACTGATATTCTTACTGTCTCCTGCTTTGCCTCTTCCAGAATGTCATATAGTTGTAATCATACAGTATGTAGCCTTTTCAGATTGACTTCTTTAACTTAGTAATATTCATTTGTTTCCTCCACGTCTTTTCATAGATTGATAGCTTATTTCTTTTTAGCATAGCTAACGTCGCATTGTCCGGATGTACCACAGTTTATTTATCCGCTCACCTACTGAAATACATCTTGGCTGCTTCCAAGTTTTGGCAGTTATGAATAAAACTGCTGTAAATATCCATGTGCAGGTTTTTGTGTAGACATAAGTTTTCAACTCCTCTGGGTGAATATCAAGGATTGTGATTGTATAGTTTAGTTTTACAAGTGTATGTTTAGTTTTGTAAGAAACTGCCAAACTGTCTTCCAAAGTGGTGCACCATTCTACATTCCCACCAGCAATGAGTGAGAGTTCCTATTGCTCAATATCCTCGTCAGCATTTGGTGGTGTCAGTGTTCTGGATTTTGGCCATTCTAATAGATGTGCAGTGGTATCTCATTGTCATTTTAATTTGCATTTCTCTGGTGACATGTGATGTGGAGCATCTTTTCATGTGCTTATTTGCCATCTGTGTATCTTCTTTGGTGAAAGTGTCTGTTCAGATCTTTTGCCCATTTTTTAATCAGGTTCTTCATTTTCTTATGAAAATGAAGTTTTGTTTTAAGTTGAGTTTTAAGAGTTCTTTGTGTGTCTTGATTATAGAACTTTATCGGGTGCATCTTTTGCAAACATTTTCTCCCACTCTATGTTTTGCCTCCTCATTCTCTTGAACAATGAATTCTGCAGAGCATATCTGTACTGGTTTTTAATGTTTTCTTTATCATATGTTAAGTGTGATGTTTTTATGGGAATGAAGGTTTATTTTGGAGTTATCTAATGTATTCAATTGCTCTGTGTTCATTCTTTTCTATATAACTTTAATATAAAATAGTATACACTTTATTATTTTTTAAAACTTTACTAGGAGACATAGTACCTATATAAGTGGAGTTTTCCTGGATAACAAAAAATGAATATTATGAAGAAGCACATTTTCCAAATAAATTCAGTGCAAAGAGGGGTATGGGCTTTTCATTTTTGAAAACTGAGGGCTTTAAAAAATTTTTTTATTCATGGTTATTCATTTAGTCAGGTTTTCTACTTATTTCAAGACAATTTTGATAATTTATATTTTTCTATAAAATTTGTGTTGAAATTTTTGTCATAGAGTTCTCACTTTTTTTTTTCTCCTTTTTTTGTCTTTTTTACTGACCGGTGACGGGATCACAACCCTCGGCATTGCGCCCGCACCGCGCTCAGCCAGTGAGCGGGAACCAGTCTCCACATGGGATCCGAACCCTCGGTGGGAGTGCCGCCGTGCTCCCAAGCTGCGCACTCTCCAGTGCGCCACCGGGCCGGCCCATAGAGTTCTCACGTTAATATGAATTCTTAGCATAGAGTTTTCAGTTCAATGTGTTTCTTGAAATCTCCTCATATCTGTAGTTACCATTCCTTTGTCATTTGGCTTCTTTATATTTTCTTCATACTCTTCTTAGTTTCATTTACTAGGGCTTTGACCCTTTGGCTGGCAAACTAATGGGCCAGTAATTTGGAAGAGATAAAGGATTTTCCTTTGTTGAAGCAATGGGTCCCTCCAAAGAGGTAATCCCTGTATGATATATCAGAATAAGTAATTGGCAGGACTTGGGATGACTCCAGCCGCTCAGGATAGTATCTAAACAATTCTGGAGCAAGAAGTAGTTCCAGGGATCTTCCTTCAGTTTTAAGTAACCAACTAAATATTTAAGTCAATGGGATTATTTTCTCATCCAGGAAGAACCTCAGAATTTTTTTAAAGGGATGTTCAGGCATCTAATAATAAATAATTTAAACTTGGTATAACCGTTAAGAAGAGAATGTGAATTGTCCCTTATCTTCTTGGTTCTCTCCTTTACAGGCTCTTGTGTTGGGGGGTATGGGGGGTGATACGTACAGCTCTGTCCCAGCCGATAGACCCTGGCTGTTTTGAAAGTGACCAACCACGGAGAGAGGGTGTGGGGAAGGGCAGATCCAGCAAGTAGATGGCAACCTTCATTTAATTTGGCTTGGAGAGCAGGAAGGTGGGGAGACTCCTGTGTTAGTCTTTGCAGGGGGATAATTTGCACAAAGTAAGCGGAGAGCCAGGAGGACTGGAAAGGAAAGGAGAGACGCAGATTTATGGCTCTGACACCCAGCTAAAAACCATATGGTGCCGCTTGCAACTCCAGGGTCGTTTGCTCCTCCTCTTAGTACTATATTCTGCCTTTTGCACAGACAAGGTCAAAGACCTGGCAGCACTCAAACAGGCCTGGGGAAGAGCGGCAGGAGCACGGACCTCACTGTCCATTGTGCTCTGGGCAGCCTGTAGACATTCAGCAGAACCAGATGCCAGGCTCTGGGGCACCAGAGCTGTGGTGCTTTTAAGCTGCACAGCTGGGGATGCCTCACAGTTATAGCAGTAGGATGTGGTGGTGCCTTAGCAGCCTACCCCTTCTCCCTCACCTCAGCCTCCATGGTCATGCGAGCACAGCCTCTTCCCCGGCACAGCTTCAGGTCTAGTGTACAAGACTGTGGTCACAGCTTTCTGAGGAGGCATAAGAGTGGCCTGATCCACCATCCCAGCATTCCACCAGGACAATTGTCACAAGCTCTGCAGAGGCCAGCTCCTTCCCAGGAGGCCAGCCTGCAAGAATCAGCCAAGCTAACCCTTGTGTCTCACCTCTCCTGTCCTTCTAGATCATGGGCACTCTGAAGGCAGGGTTGGTGTCTGATTCCTCCTTATGTCCCCTCAAGTGCCAAACATTTGGCTGGTTCTGTAAGTGGCTTAGGAATGAATAAGAGCAAGCCTAACAAGGGGATTGGATGAAGCCTCCCGTCCTTTCAACCATTCTTAGCTATTAGGGATCCTGTCCTTCTTTGAGGATCTGGTGAATGCTTTGGACTATCTCCAGAAAAATATAGGCAAATACACACACACACATGCACACACTATTTTGCACACAACCTCAGAGGCAGGTCTATCAGTCTACGGACCCTGGTGAAGAGCCCTTGCCTTAGGGCTCTGGTAGGTTCTCAGCATCATTTGGTTCTGTGCCACGCCCTACACCTCTGCCCACCACTGCTCACCTGCTCTGAGTCTGTGCACGATCTAATCTTTCCATAGGCCAGCTGTTGGTTGTGGTATTGATTTGGAACATGGTTAGACTGATCTAAGTTTTGTTGAAAATGATTGCTTTTCACTGTTGCACCCAGGGGGATGCATTGGCTAGCCATGACCCCAAGGTCTGACAGCTTTCTAGACAGCACAGATTTTACTCAGAGTTCCAAGGATGCCCTTTAAGTGGACAGCCCCTTCTTGGCCCTACCTGAGGAGAGGGGCCTCCTTTCCTCACAACCACCAAAGCCACCCTGGCAGGAAGTCTGCAGGTAAAGCTTCCAAAAGCCTGTTGGTTGAAACTAGACTTGCCAGCTTCAGACTTTTTGGCCTTCCCCCCACCATCATCCTTTTGCTGTCACCCTACCCTGTGGCCAACATGGTGGTTGACTTTTCCCCATAAGGTCGTCTTTTGTGATTTCCTAAGTCACTCCTGTCAACTTGTATTTGTTTGATATTTGGAGCCATTTCCTATTTGGTAGTGTTTGGGGCTCTCATGGGGTGGAACATGCCTACTAGTTCTCCTGCCTTCTGTTCTCATTCAGCAATGTTCTCTGTCCCATAGATTCTGGGTGTGACTCAGTCACCGACACCGAGCCTGAGGACGAGAAGCCCTACTCGAGGCAGCAGAGCCTGTCACTGGAGACTTCACCTGGAAACCTAATGGTGGTGCAGCCGGACCGCATTCGCTGTGGGGTAGGAACTTCCAGGGCCCAGCAGATCCATGTCAGAACATGGGCTTTTCAAATGCATGCCTTTGTTGCAGTGGAGTTCTCATGATGCACCTCAGTATAATCACAGCCTCCCCTTGGGGTTTCCCCTGGGAACCCTAGTACCTGGGCCTTGGACACACCTAGCTCAGAGAGAGACAAACACAGGAATGTATGTGTCATCAATTTAGATGACACATAAGACTTCCGACTCACAGATCAATAACATG